TGTTTTAGTCCACGTGCTCATCTGAAAGTTTAGTTGTTGCTCAGTTGTTAGAATAGCCATAGCCTATAACAGAGGGCTTCGATTAACCAAGTCACTCTCACCTGTTTAGTGCTTTGGTTGTGTAGACGACTTGACTGCATTTGAATGAGATAGAAGTATTTGGAATTGAATTTGACACTCAGTATATTTCGCGTGGCAAAATTTATGAAGCAGTTTGAAAAGACAAGGTGAGACTAGTGTTACGGATTGAGATTTAAACTCTAGACTTGCATGACTTTAAAACATTGAGATGATTTCTTTCACGTCTTAAATGAGCTTAACACAAGATTTATAGCAACTTATAAGATATTATTTATTCTGATTTATTAAATTTTATAGTTTTGTTTCACAAAAAATATCTTACAAAAGAAAGTGATGTGAACACTTATGTTACAAAACCAATTTCAGCACTCAGTTGTTAGCACAAAATATATATATATATATATATATATATGTATATAAATTGTTTTTGGAAACATGAAAATGTCATGCATTTTTTATACTCGGGTGAAAATTTTTATTCTTTTTTAATAGGTGTAAATCACTTTTTGCAGACTGTTCCAACCTTGCCCTACCAAATCATGAAGCAGGATCAAGATAGAGTAGGACCTACTGGCGTTAATTCTTCGAGATGGCTTACACTCTTTGGGGCAGGGGTCTCACGGCTTTTGGGTTGTGCACAATAGCTTATTCCAATGAGGCTGAACATGGTTTGGAGGTATCCTTGGCCTCATAAAGGCATACTCAGTTCATATGACCATTCTTCGTAAGTTGATTTTTCATCTCCCCTCCTGTTTGCAGCGCAAAGGAATTGTTGTTTCTCAGAGAATATTCTAGTTGTCTGATTTTCGTGGCAGTTTTTTAAAATGCTTTGCCATCTTGATTAAGTGCCATATGATTGTGACATAAACATATTTTCGTGATTTCTGAATGCTTACTATAATTCTGTACAACTTGATTAATATGGATTAATTATACATGAGTAGCTTTCGTCGGGGTCACCAGGTCTACCAACAAGTCTATGCATCTTGCCATTCAATGTCTCTTATCTCGTATAGAGATCTTGTTAGTTTGGCATATACTGAAGAAGAAACAAAGGCTATGGCAGCAGAGATTGAAGTGGTTGATGGGCCTAATGATGGGGGTGAGATGTTAACTCGGCCTGGTAAGCTCAGCGACCGTTTTCCACAGCCATATGCAAATGAACACCGGCTAGGTTTGTCAATGAAGGTGCATATCCTCCAGACTTAAGCCTTATCACCAAGGTGTCTCTAATATCTTGATTTCATGAAATAAGCATTAATGCTATGATTGGATACATATAAATAAAGGAAAAGAAATGTGTTTGGATACATATAAATAAAGAAAAGAAAGGAAAAGAAAAGAAAAAAAATTTTTTTTAAAGGAAAGAAAAGGTACATGTATATTTTGTTTGGATATTTAAAATTAATAAAGAAAAGAAAGAAAAGGAATTCTAAAAACTATTATTGTGATAAATAGTAAAAAAAAAGGAAATAATTTATTATAATATATTTTTTTCAATTATAATATATTTTTTAATAAAGTAACATATATATACAAATATATTTTTATACTACTTAACTTGTATTAATAAATTTTTTTAAACAAAATTGAGCATGTTTAATATGATAAAATGTATTAGTGAATTATCGATTTATTTTTAATTTTGTATTTAATTCAGTTTTTTAATTTATTCTGACAATAATTTAACTTGTTTTGTTGTTAAGAGTTGAAAAATTATAAAATATTTATAAGTTGCGATGTTATACAAAATACTCATAAAAAAATATTTTTGTAAGAAGTATCAATTATATAATTAAATCTAATAGCATAATAAATGTATAAATATATTAGTTTTTTTATAAAAATAAAATTTTTTTAATTTTCTTTTTGTCAGCTTTTCTCCAAAATTAGAATATTAAAAAAGTATAGATTATAAGAGAAATAAAAGGATATTGAGTTTCTATCTTTTTTTTTTTAATTAAAAATTTATCTAAACAAAGAAAGTGTTTTTCTATTTCCATTACTTTTTTTTGTTTTCCTTTCCTTTCTTTCCTCTCTCTTCAATCCAAATATAGTGTAAAACTCCTTATTAAATTTCAATATATAACTCCTTGTTCTTTCAGGTCCGCCATAATGGTCAGAAATATGTATTTGCTCTTCTAACAGGTTACCTTGATCCTCCTGCTGGCATCTTGGTAATTTCTACTTTTGATTGCATATAATTTTTAAACGAGTAGACTGAAGAAAAAGCTTTGAAATGTTATTGTCAATATTTACAGCATAAAATGGAATGTTACTGGAGAGTATCACAAAATGAACCGACGAGTAAATCTTTGATTTTTCTCTCATGCCAATTACGTGATCATCTGGCCATGTTCAGCTTCAGAAATGTTGCTTAGGTTTAAACTTGTGCTTTGTTAGTGTGGCTTGGTTCAGCTTAACATTAATCATGGTGATTTTCTCTAAATTTGAGATTTCTTTGAAATCAGTAACTTACCTCATTACATGCCTAAGCAGATGTTTGCTTCGGTTGGTTAGTCTCTACCAGGTGGGGAAGTAAAAGTGAGAAAGCAGGTTGGCTTGTCCCTTTGCAGAGGGGTAGAGGTTGGTGGTGGTAAGGGAGAGAGGTAGTCTCAGGTCAATATTTATTAATATAGTGTATTATAAATTTGACTTATTTAAAATGCTTTCTTAGCTTGATCTGATGACAAGAAACATTAATATCTGCAAAAAAAGAAAGAATAATTTGTAATCTTATCTCAAAAGAAAGAATAACAACTTACCATGTTTGTTGTATGATACTCATTCATCCATTGCAGATTCGAGAAAGACTGCATTATAATCCTTACTTTCCCGTTGGCGCAATTGCTATGCCGAAAATGCTGAATGATGGTGCTGTTGAATATGAAGATGGTATCCCAGCTACAGAGACCCAAGTAACATTCTTACTGTTCTGTTGTATATGATTGTGCAATGCTTCACTAGCTAAAGCAAGTGGTCTCATTCTTTTTACAATGTTGGTGCAGATGGGGAAGGATGTGGTGACATTTTTAACATGGGCTGTTGAGCCAGAAATGGAAGAAAGAAAACTGGTAAGTAATTTACAAAGTTCAATTCTGCTTTCCCCCGCTTAGAGCTTTATCTAATACTTGCATTCCTGCAATAATGGTTTATAAAAGGCATAAATTTAAAAAGTTATAAAAGATCTCTGAATGTTGGCCTTTGACTCTCTTACATGACTATATCTACTTGAAATTTGAAAACCATCCCATTGGTGGCACTAAATCATATGATAATGATTGATTTTTGGCATAATTAATCACTGATACGGTTCTAGCAATCTGAAGTCTCTACAAAACCTGTGCTTAGTATGCTCTTAGAACCAAGTTTTGAGTTTAATGTTTTAAGATGCAATCCTAATAAAAGTGAGTCTCCAATACTTATAAGTTACGTTTGGCACACAAGATTAGTTGAAAGATAGGATACTAATTATTTTATCATATGTTTATTTTGTACTTAAATAAAAAGATTGGATTATTGAAAGGATTAAATATCCTATGCTAATAGAATAACTCTATCTTTTGAAAAAGTAGAGATTGTTTTTAATTTATAGGATTAGATAATTTATCAAAATTTTTAAATAATGAATTTTTATTCTACCCTTAAATTTTAAATTATCAAATATTTGAAAATATTTTTTTCTCTAAATTTTTTTCGCTTTCCATCAATGGAGAAAACCTATTTATTCTCTATGGAAAAACACTCTCTGTTTCTCAAACTTTCCAACTTTGCTAATTTTTAATTAATAATTTTTAATTGAAAATTTTGTAATTAGAACTTTGATATTTTTTAAACTATAATCTACAAGCCTTTTAATAAAATTTTAATATAAAATAATATATAATTTCTGTTTGAATTTATATTATTTATTATTTATTTGATGTATTTATTTGTTTATTATGAGTATTTTTTAAGTCAAAATTATTGAAAGAATTTATCAATTAAAAAGGTATATGGGCAAAATTTAATTAATTGATAAATGGTCTCTAAAAAAAATAATTGAGAAATTATATCACTTGTAACTATATAAAAATCAAATTAATATATAAAAGATAATTTTGACTAATAAAAAATATCATCATATCCTAATCTTAATTTTGTAGATAACAAACAAAATAAATGGTAAAATAATATTTTATCTTGTTTTTAATCTTTGTATAAACCAAATATAATTTAATTTAATTCAATTTATAATTTTATATTATTTTATCCTATTATAGTTTTGTATTCCAAACATAATCATAATATCTTATCTTGTAATATATGGGACATTTTTTTTTCTTATTTCCCCTCCACTTTGCATTTCAATTTTGTTTGAGATATGAGCGAGGTGGTAGAGCACTTTGCAATTATAAGAAATGTACTTCTTAACTTCATTTGGCTTTGATATTTTGCACAAATGGGTTTTAAGTGGATATTTGTGCTGTCACTCGCACTTCTCCAAGCGGCTTACTATCGGCGGTTGAAATGGTGAGTTTTGAAATCTCGAAAACTGGTGCTTGATGTTGTCAATTGATCTCTTCTGTTTATGTAAGCATGCACTTGAGAAGGGATAGATTGGTAATAATAAATTCAATTAAATTTTATTAGACAAAAATTGGTTAATTGTCAAAATTTATTTTCATCCAATGGAGAGTTCTATTGGGTGAAAATAGATGATTAAGAGTTTCTGAAAATAAATATTTAAAGATTCAATTAATTTAAATAGAAAATTTATGGTTTAATTTATTGTAATAAAATATTAGAGATTTAAATGATTATTAAAATTTTTTTTGGAGTTATTTTTTTCCTTTTTTTTTTTTTTATTTAGACAATTTTTATTTTAAGTGAAACAGAGCACCCAAATGCTTTGAAGTGAAATATTTTACTTAATTGTAAAAAAAAAAAAAATAGCTTATACCAGAGGAAAGATACATAAAATGTAATATTGGTGAACACTTAAACCCTCATTGCTTTTGAATAATCCTAAAAGTATACAACGATGTAACCCCCAAATGGATGAAGCACATTACTTTGTTGCGTAAGCAATGCAAAACAAATTTAAACAGTTTTACAGATGATGTAATTTTCTGACACTAAGCAGCTTCACATCATCCACCACCGGTCCACAAAGAGAACCTGTGTTATCACTTTTCATGGCGTAAAATGTGCTATAGAACATTATCCGAGTTCGCGTCGACTCTGCTTTGAATGGAAGTATAGCTCGCTTGAATCCTCCTACGCCCTTCGACTCATACGAGGCCTTGACTGTGTATTTGTCTGCAAATGCTTCTACCACCATGGGACCTTCACATTTATTGTTGGCATCACCAATGGCAAATGAGAGGACATAGCTTCTACCGATTGTGGTCTTAACGATTTGTGCAAGGGAACTTTCTTTTCCAGCTATGAGTTCGATGGCCCGTTTGCCCTCTGGAACACAGAAATGTTCACTGTCAATGTACTTGACGGCTTTAAGGGAGTCAATTATCCAGCCTGGTAAAGGACTGTGATCATCTTCAATGTGGGGTGGAATTATGACTCCCTCGGAAGTAGGGTTTGTGAAGATATAGGGGCCTTCTTCGAAATTTCCATTCTTTAGTAGATTGGCTGCAAATGTTGAATAAAAAAGGTAAGTAATAACTGAAATTCAATTGTGGATATCAAACATTAATGCATCATGTTTGTTATATTTATGTATCCATATAGATTACTGGATAAAATACAACGTTAGTTATTCATTTATAGTCGTATTTTTAAAACGATAATCTAATTATTAAAATTTTCGATTTAATATTAAAGTTTGATTAAGTAATTTTTTGTCACTAAATTAATAATTTTTAACGACAGGTTATCGTGAGAATACCATGTCAACTGTTAGTTGTCATGTAATATTATCATTTCATTTGACAGATCATGTGGTATTGTTAAAGTGGCATTATAAATTTTTGAAAAAAAAAATATTTTGCTTACATGACAATGTCATGTGGCATTTGACAATAAAATGCTATGTCACCGTGTCATTAAAAGCTTATGATTTAGTGATAAAAAAACTATAAATTATAGTAATTAAATTAAAAAAATTAATTATTAAATGATCATTTTAAAAACACCATAATTAATAATTAATTGATCAATTGGGTTTAGATTGTTTTACCTCCGGTGCGTTTAGGAGGGATCAAGGTCTTCGATGCGACGGTATCAATAAGAGGGCCACAAGCTCCATCATCCTCCACAACTGGATTATGTATTGAAATCTCAACTACAGACTCATCGGCCTGGAATGCCCATGCATATGAATCCCATCCATTGCAGCTATATATTGTTTGAATGGGAACTAAACCATAGTCGTTTTTCTCATAGTTTGGTGAAATTGACACGTTCAGTCTTTCCTCTTGGGCACATGTGCGAGCCACGCTGAAGGTTAGAGAGTAAAGCATGCCCTTAGTCACATTAATCTTCTGCTTAATCATGGCCTCGTTGCCTAACCTAACTGCATAGTTGCCCTCGGGTACTATTAGCACCATGTCACCTTGTTTTTGACCTGACTTGATGTACTCAACATAGCCTGAAGTTTCCCAGTTGGGTATGGCCTTGGGGCTCATCACTTTTGTTCCTTTCAATTCTGATGGCTTTGGTCCATACTCAAAGTTTCCATTTGGCAATAAACCTGAAAATTTTCAATCACCAAATTTAGGTAGATCCATCAGCATTTCATGTGGTTGATTCAAAGATCGATAGTCATCACATGTTCTGTACAAAGAAAATGTGAGAAGGAAGAATGGATGACATTTTAGTCATCTTTGGACCCACAAACATGGCAAAACTGACACGTTAGATTTGATCGATCCTTCAGCGGCCATTGAATGACAGAACTTGTTTATTGCAAAAGTTATTCTATTGCTGCAAGGACATGCTCTCTCAATCCTTAATTCATTTATGTCAAAGTGGTGCAGATAAGCAATGGTCCAGACCATCAAAGATTCTATATGGGACAATAAGCGTTATCTAGGAAACAGTTTTCCTTATAAAAACCAATTCCTGATTGTTTGATTTAATGCATGTGCCACATGTAAGGTTTGAGATTTCCTTCAAAAGGAAAAATTTTCTTATGGGTATTTTGCCTACAATATTCATTGCAACTCATGAATTCGACTGCCATGCACATGCACATCAATGATTAATGAATAGTTTTTTTGTGCTTTTACTGGATTGTAGGCGCATAAAATATTGGTAACATTTTCTAGTAATTACAATGGTAAACGAATGTATTGAGCTAGCTAGCAATTGGATTGAAGGGGCATCGTGGTCATTTTGTAAGGATTGATGTCTGCCAATGCATGCTTTTTAGTGTTAGGTTGTTGTGAAAAATGTGCAAACCAATCTGGGCTTCACGCGGCTGAAGGCTGCATAGATATATATATATATATATATATAAATTAATTTAATTTTGTCTTACAATTCGCCTTTACATGCCAGCAGCAAATATTTTATTATTTACCAAAAAATTTCAGCAGACTGGGATTATTAAACAACGGGCAGCTAATTGCTAAGTTAGATTTATATCAAGCAGCCAACTAGCTAGCTGAACCTAAAAAGCTTTTAAGTATTTAGTAGTACTTGTATCTGATTAAGTTTGGGATCAAATATTCAAACTTCTAAGGAGAGGAAGAGGATACTGGGGAACGATGATCCATATGTCCATGACTGTTTTCCGAAATTGGAAAGTTTAGGGCTTGAAATATGGGAAAAGATGGAATCGAACTGACTAGACTAGACTAGACGTAGACGCATTTAAGGTGAGAAGCTAAATTTATACATTGCTCTATAAGACAAATGAACAGGACAATCTTCAACTCCTACACCATAAGCCATGTATAATTCTTTGTTTTCAGGCTACCATTTATGCTTTTTTTTTTTTCTTTCAAACATTCATTCATTTACTAAAAGAAATAAAACCCACTTTGTAAGTGCAGAAAAAAAGGACATAGTCTGCCCAAGTAAATGGCAATAATTAGATCTTTTGCTTAATTTGTAGCTACCAAAAAATTAACATCACCTTTTTTTTTTTCTTTTTCAATACAAACTACACCCAATGCACAGAAAAGGTAATGCAAGTAAGCTGTAAGCAAAGATTTTAGGGAGGTGAGCAGAGCTTACCATCTGTGAGAGATGAGGCTATTTGAGAAGTGGCGCAAAGTAGCAATAAGAACACGGCAATCCTCTGCATTTTGTAGGAAATTAAAGAGGCAATTTGGATGGAAATCTTTTGTGGCTGTATGTGCTTTTATTTGCTTAGCTCTATAAGAAAGCCATTAGTATTTACTAAAACTACATGAGTGCCACCACAACCATATATATCATCTCTCTTTTTATGTTATTAAAAAAATTAACCTCTAATTGTTTGCTAACCATTTTACCAAATAACAATTGTCATATATAGCAAAGTAATTATCTAGACGATATGACACCCAATATACGAGATATATTTATTTTGATTGAAAAATTTTACAATTTTATTAAAAAAATATTTTATAAATATAAGTTTATATTTCGACATATATATCATAATAAATCCTCGCAATATTTTAATATAGGATTGAGGCGATACATTGTAATTAACTATAATTTTTTTTTATGCAAGACTAATTTACTTATAATTTTATTTTTCACCTTCTAGTTTTCCTATCAAGCTTAATTAGGAGTATTTAATTTGAAGTAATGAGAGCTTGCAAAGATTATTAATGAGATTTTTTATGATATATGAAAAGATCTATTAATATTATATATGTCATGGTTATCAAATTTAACTTTATAAGTTATGTCTATATAAAAGTAATGCATATAAATCAGCATTTAGATACCCTTTTTTTCATGATTTTTTATAGGAGATACGAGAGGGGATAATGGGGTTTGAACTCTCATCTTACATGTCTTCCTATGCCTTCTTAGCTATCAAGTCAAAAAGCTGAAGTCTTGTTTCATGAAATTTTGGACACCTTTAAAAAAAAAGGAATTCAAACATGAGTTGAGTTGAATATCTTTAATTTCCTCTCAGATTAAAAAAAAAAAAATTGGATTTAAAATCTTAATTTACTATTTCATCCTTTATGACATAAATTTATACCGGTTCCAGGCAGGTGATTTCGGCATTGTATAGCATACAAAGTTCCTAAAATTAGGGGGACCTAATTGCTTGGTGAATTGAAATATTAATTGCTTGTGGTTTTTATAATGAAACGTAATTTAGATGCATAAGTGTGAAATATGATTCCAGAGATTCGGCATTCTTCTGGTGGAGGTTGAGTGCAATTTATTCAAAGCCACATGGATTTATAGACAAATTGTTGAGTTGTCGGTTAAGGGCCAATTTTGTCTAATTATTCCTATTTTCCTATTTGCAAATCAATTTTCAATAGGGCTTGAAGTCTAATTATTCTTTTGGACATAATAATTTTAAAACAAATGAAGGAATAATATAGCCAAAAATGACCAAAATCCTTTTAAGAAAGGCACATGGCTAAGGGAAGATGGTCCCTAGAGTGATTGAATTTGGTTGTCTAGCCAAAATTGTAATCCATTTTTTAATAATTAGGTTGCTTGTGGGGGGATTATCAGCAAAACAGCATAATAATCAAATTATAATGTAACAATTGGAGGGGCAACAAAAGGCAACTTTCTGATCTTATCCCAAGCAAGCCATGTGAAATGCAAGTGAGAATTTTGATTGAGTTTGCCTTCATTTGATTAGTTTAATAGTTTTTCTTTTGCTTCTCTTCTTAATTGTTGGTCTCCAATAATTCTAAAGTTTATTATTGTTGACATGTGCAGTAAGTGTATGGGAATGGGACTAAAGAGATTGGAAGAAGATTTGATATAGGACTAGCAAAACTGTATAATTTTGTTTGATTGTCAAGCACAAGTAAGGTTTTCATAGCAGCTCCTTCACAAAAATTTGTAAGAAAATTTATTTTCAAATGCAAGCAAGAAAATGCATATCTCTCACCATCTACAAAAGCCTTCTGTATATTTACTTGATGAATATTCAATATTTGATCCTAAAGTGTTTAATTCATACCAGAAATCGTTTCAGGAAAAAAAATTAATATCAGAAATAATATCAATCAACTCTTATTAAAATTCTAACTGGGATGTATTAAATTTACGATAATGATTCCTCGAATTGTGTACACATCACACTTAATTTACTATTGAAATACTAATTGAAGTTTGTGAAACAATAGAGACAAGAAATCAATTTAACCAATTGGTAGAAGTTAAAGCACAGTTTATATATATATATTTACAAAATAGGAGATAGTTTGCTGAAAAAATTAAAATGCTTATATTTAAATTTTAATATAAGCATTTTTAATTTTTTATGGGGAGGTGTGTCGAAATCATTCAGATATAATTCATGTTGTCTGGATTGATCGTCCCATGCAGTTCAATAATTTAATTATATTAAATTTGGTTGACAACTGATAGAGAGAAGGGTAGAGAAGGGTCCTTCACAAAAATAAAGTTGTACGAAATGTTAAAAAGATTTTGGCATGGCTTTTTGCAATTTCCAATCTGACAAAGTCAGGGGAAGAGATCTCAAGAAAATAACCAAATTCCAGAAGAATATGTGCCCTCTCAAGTCGCAGCGGCGATCAATACAGCATATGATTTTGCCAATAACATAGAAGCAAGGCAAAAACATTTGCAGGCTAATTCATTCTTAGAGGCGGGAGTCAACCAGCAATGTATGTGCAATTTTGTGATTCAACTGACAATGTCATATATGGGGGAAGAGAGTTTCCAAATACATTCCAATAATTTTTTTTTATATCAACGTCTCTGTTGGTTTAAGTGTTAAAAAATTTGATTCACTTTAAATGAGGTTTCAATTTCGAGCTTCTTGAGAAAATAAATTTGGAAGAATTTATTTTTTTTATGGAATTCGATTCAACTTAATTCTAAATTAATTAAAATTTAAAATGATTAATAATTTTAGATAAAAAAATAATTTTTTTATATGTAATTTTTTCTTATAAAATTGGCTTTTAATGAAAATTATTTAAATACCTTTTATTAAACTACCTTTTAACACCCTTTCTCTTTTTCTCTTCATCATTTTTTTTCTCTTCATCTTTTCTTTCTTGCGCTTTACAATTACAAACCCTAAATCTTTAAAGTACTATTATTGTCTTGTACATTGTCAAAATGAAAAATCAAATTAGAAAAAACATCGGTGGGGATTAAAAGTGCTGAATAAATGATGGGATAAGTCATTTAAACCTCTATTTCAATTGAAAATTTGTACATTCCAGAATTGCAAATCCTTTCAGAAGTTTTCCAAATTTGCATTTCCGAGAGCTTTTAAAAGCTTCCGGATTTGCATTTCTGAAAATTTCTAAAAGCTTCTTAGAAATGCGGATCCGGAATCGACAATTTGACGAAAATATTATAGCCGAAACATATGAAATCTAAAAATTTAATCAAATTCAAACACACTCAAAGACATATTGACTCTAAATTGAAGTTTGGCGACTTGATTATCTTTCAAAGTTAGTGATTTAAGGTTTTATTTTTTGGGTTTGAGAGTTAAGTATAATAGGTGTAAGAGAAGAAAGGGAAAGGATCCTCTCCGCTATTTAAAAATGAGCGGAAGTTTCCACTTTATCTAAGAGTGGCAAGGTGTGAAGAAGCAACGGTCATCCACAAGATCGAAGAGATGACAGGTAACAAAATAGTAAATTAAATGTTTCTCAGTATATGGGTTGTTGACTTTGAATGGGTAAGGAAGTGAGGATTAGGTGTCTTGCATAACTGTAAGAAGAAATATTATGAGAATTTTGTCATGGAACGCGAGAGGGATAGGTGGGGAGCTGAAAATTCAAGCCGTAAAAAGAATGATCAGAGAATCAAAAGCTGAAATGGTGCTATTGCAGGAAACTAAAATAGTAACTTGTTATAATAATGCGGTAGAGAGGATATGATCGAATGGAGGAATTAATTAGGTGTGTAACCTAGCTAAAGGGAGAGCGGATGGTTTATTGGTGCTATGGGATAATCAGTTTTTTGGAAAGGAGGTTGTGTCGGTAAATAAGAGGTTTGTGTTGGTAAAAGGAAAGTGGCAAGGGCATGGTTTTGAATGTATTGTTGTTAACGTTTATGCTCCTAATAATATGGAGGAGAAGAAGTTGCTATGGGGGGAATTGTTAGAGCTGATGAATGAAATGGAGGGAGATTGGTACGTAGCGGGTGATTTTAATATGGTTAGGAATTCAGAGGAAAGAGGTGATTGTGCATCGGATGGGACTAGAATTAAGGATTTTAATGAGTTTATTCAAAGAGGGGAGTTCTTTGATATGCCTTTTAATGGTAAAAAGTTCACAGGGTATGAGGCAAGCTCGTAAAGGAGTAGATTGGATAGGTTTTTGCTATCAGCTGAATGGATAATGAAGTTTGAAGATTTGAGTCAAAGAGGGTTGAAGCGTTCGTTATCTTTCATTATCTAATTTTGCTGACATCAGAAAATGTGGATTTGGGACGGAGGCCATTTAAGTTCCTGGATTGTTAGATGAATAATAGGGAGTTTGAGAAGGTTGTGACAAAAAATGGGGTTCCTATGAGATTGGGGGGATGCCAGGCCATAGATTGAAGGTAAAGTTGAGTAAATTAAAAGATTTTCTAAAGCAATGGAATAGAGAAAATTCGGGATGGTGGATTCTACTATAGCAAATTTAGAAGATTAGTTGGATGGATTGGATAGAGTAGGGAGCAATAGGGAATTGAATGAAATAGAAATCGAGTTTAAAAAAGAAACAACACTGCAGCTGTGGGCAACATATAGAAATAAAAAGTCAATGTGGAGGCAGAAGTCTAAGGTGAATTGGATAAGGGGGGAAGATAGGAATACCAGGTTTTTTCACAGAAGCAAAGGGAAGGGCAAGAAGCAATTACATTGGGGGCCTAAATAGTTATGGCGAATGGGTGTCTGACCTGAGATAAGTGAAAGCTATGGTTATGGAGTATTTCAAAAGAAGGTTCAGAAACGAAGAATGGGAGAGACTGACGATGGAGGATATAGTACTCGACAAGTTGAGTCTAGGACTAGCAGAGGAATTGGAGGCTTCATTTACGGAATATGAAATATGACGGATGGTGGAGGAGTGTGAAGGATTGAAAGCTTCAGGGCCAGATGGGTACAACATGAACGTCTTCAAAAAGTCTTGGAAGCTGTTGAGAGAAGA